TCCGTCTGAATATTGGGTGAAGGACAGGCAGGCCTGGAGGACCCGACACAGAGATAGCATGGACTCCCCTGTGCCTGCTGTGGGCCTCTGGGTGCCTGGGCCCCAGACTCACCTTTCCTGACTCCTCTGGGTGTTTTGACTTACTGGCCTCTAGACATCTTTTGGAAAAACATGTTTGAGGCATAAATCTATGTGACCATTCTGGAAGACATTTTGGCAGTACTTTTTTTTTTTTGATTCAACATTTTCATCTCTTGAAATGTACCCTAAAAATATGCTTGGTTATGTACGAGGATACTTCAAAAAGTTCATGGAAAGGTTCGTACTATCTTTCACTTCACTTTTTCCCTTAAGTTTTTGTATCTGTGTTGTTTTTGATGTTGAAATTAAAATATTTAGGTTGAGAAAATTTTGGTTTATCCACACAGTGTTCTCTGAAGCTTTTCTATATAGTCCTTAAAAATCATGTTCTAGGGGAATTTTTTTTTTTCCTTTTTGTCTTTTTTCGTGACCGGTAATGGGATTGCAACCCTCAGTGTCGCGCCCGTACCGCGACCGGCAACGGGATCACAACCCTCGGTGTCGCACCCGCACCACGCTCAACCAGTGAGCGGACCGGTCTGTATATGGGATCCGAACCCTTGGCGGGAGCACCGCCATACTCCCAAGCACCGCACTCTACCGAGTGCGCCACCGGGCCGGCCCTCTAGGGGAATATTTAATGACGTGGAAAACGTTCATGATTTATTAAGTGCAAAACTCTGTGTTTATGTGTGTACACATGCATGTATCTATAGTTATATATATAGCATATCTCTGTATGATGGGATTATGAGTGACTTATTCTTTGTACTTTTCTAGATTAACAAATTTTCAATAGTGAGCACTTACAACTGTTGTAAAAGAAAATCTTATTTAAAAAGTTATATGGCTTATGGTCATACATGTGTGGCTCTGTGTGTGTGTGTGTGTCTGTGCATGTGTGCATCTGTCAAGGAAACAAAGCCGTACTGCTCCTCTGCCTGGCCTTAAGCTTGAGGAAAGAAGATTGTTGAAGTGGGAGCAGTTTTCCTCTGTAAAATGAAGGTAACAATGGTGCCTACCTCATGGTTTTTTGTGAGGATTTAATGAGTTAGTGTGCTAAGACCTCATATCAGGTAGTGGTGTTAGCTATTACAGTCATTATGATTGTTATCTTGTTTTTAGTGCACCATGTTCTTATAATGATCTACAGTCTTTCCCAAGATGTTAGGCAGTGGCTGCTCTCACTTGGATTTGCCTGATAGACATTTATTTACATTTGATTGCTTGGTCATGTGGGTCTTGCCCAGTTTTCTGAAGTACTTGTGTAAACCAAGGATTTGGAAGCACGGACATCTCTTAGCCAAGGCAGTCTTCACCCTTTAAAAGTTGTACATTTCTGAACTGCGCTGCTCTCTGGACAGGACCACCATTCACAGTCTGGATTTCTGCTGCACTAGGCACTTGTGACTGTGTGATCTTGGGCAGATTTATGAACCTTCCAGGGCTTCAGCTTCTGCTAAAAGAGGGTGTATTAGTCAGGTTCTTAACTATCACAGAGGGACATGATTATTGTTATTATTTACTTACCTTTAGGAAAGTTCTCATACATGGATTTTTACTCTGCCTACTTCACCATATTGGCTATTGTGACTATCAAATGAAATAGGAATCTGAAAATGCTTGGAAAACCAGATATGCTATACATATATAGGGAATTACTATTCCAGCACTGAATTGGGCTGCACTGAGGAAAAGATGCTATTTTGTTGCTCTTCATTCTTGTCATTCATTCCTTCCTCACAAAATTTCCTTTTTCATAATTCATTCATTTATTCAATAAATACTTGCTAAGCACCTCTGATGTGCCTAGACCTTTTCTAGGTGCCAGGTGCTAGAGGGATGAGTGAGGCTCTGCTATTGTGGGGCTTACAGACCCACTGGGGGTGGGGGTGGGGTGTCAGGCAGAGATAGCCAGCAGCAGAACAGAAGGGGATGTGTGCAGAATGTGAAGCAGAATGTGACAGAGGGGCCTCAGGGAGCAGAGGCTCCTGCAGGGGTGGTTAGGGAGGGCCTTGGGAAGGAGGGCACATTTTAGCAGAGACCTGCCTGTTGAGAAGGAGCAAAAGATGAATAACACATTGAGAAAGAGAATTCCAGACAGAGGACACAGCCAATGCAGGGGCCCCCGGGTGAGAAAGAGCTGGGTGAATTTGATCAGAACAGGGTTGGAAGTTGGTCAGTCAACTGTATAGAATTAGAAAACACACAGTTCAAAGAGACTATAAATCCATCATCCCAAGAAGTTTTTACTAGAGGGGCTTGAAAGTCTGCATAGAATCTAAAGAGCTAAAACATCCCTCCGAGTCTACTCAGGCATGGAACATCCACCTGTAGTATCTGTTGATTGTCTGTCAGAGCTGTGACAGTAATGTTGGCAAGGGCCTAGGACTGGGAGGGAAAAGACCTGGATTCAAGTGTCGACTGTGTGGTCTTGTGTGAGTTTTGTAACCCTTTGCCCCTCAGTAACTACTTCTGAAAGTTGGGGATGATGCCACATACCTTATAGGGTAGGGTAAGGGGGCCTAGGACTGGGAGGGAAAAGACCTGGATTCAAGTGTCGACTGTGTGGTCTTGTGTGAGTCTTGTAACCCTTTGGCCCTCAGTAACTACTTCTGAAAGTTGGGGATGATGCCACATACCTTATAGGGTAGGGTAAGGGTTAAATGAGTGAGTGAGCACTTTGTTAAATATGACATTCTGTGTAAGGGCTAAGTATCTTAATTAAGGGCAGCTTTGAATCCAGAGTGCGTGAGGTCTCCTCATGGACAGGTGCGAGGTGCTGCACAGCTGGCTCTGAGGCTGTGGGCATCCAGCGGGGGACATGTTTCTTCACTGTCTCATTAACACAGTGAGCATATTTCTGTGTCTGGGGTCGGCTCACTGTTCTTCTAGTACAGAGTGTCTTTCCTTGTCTTCTTTTCCATATCCTGTTCCTTCCATATCCAACCTGATAGGCTTCATGGTTGGAGGTGTTTTCAGTGAAGACTTCTCCACACTCACTTTAATCCACACTGATCTCTCTCTCTTCTCATTGAGACCCGTAGATTAGCACCTAATTACTTGTGGTTTTGTGTCTCTTCACTGTTCCTTCTGCCGCCCCAGCTAGATTATAAACTACTTGAGAGTGCGAATTTTTTTAATATTCTTTCCACTCCTCCACAGTATTTACTACAACATAAATTATAGGGGCCAGTACATATCGAAGTGCATTTTGAATTAAAGTGCTCAAAAGTGATCTTAATGACACCTTGTTCACTTTTTGTTTAATGAAGCTCCAGCTATAATTTTTACCTGCCTCAAAGTTCCATGTTCCCACTATTAAACATTCTTTTTGCATGACTAGACACTGAAAGAATTATAATGCCTTGTTCTGTAGCCCCAGGTTTCCCTAGATGACAAATTCCTTTTCCTGCCTGAAGATCGTTTGTGGAAACATTGGCCATGGCATCGATATCAGAGCCTGTTACCTTCAGAGAGTTCTGCCCTTTGTACTATCTCCTCAATGCCATTCCCACAAAGATCCAGAAGGGTTTCCGCTCTGTTGTGGTCTACCTCACAGCCCTCGATACCAACGGCGACTACATTGCGGTGGGCAGCAGCATTGGAATGCTCTATCTGTACTGCCGGCACTTCAACCACATGAAAAAGTACAACTTTGAGGTGAGTCTTGCTTTTCTTTACACCTCAGTGTGCATGAGCCTTGGCCGATGTTTAGCTTGCTTGTGTTGTAGGACGTGTTCTGGGATAATTTACTTCTGATTTGCTAGCATATGCCTTTAATACTCACCCGAGCAATACTCTAAAACCATCTTTAACTGAGGTCGAATATCACTCAAAACATTGGTGTTTTTAACTTTTTTCCCCTGCATCTAAAAATCTAGCATGATTTTAAAAGAGAACATTTTTGTGTTTAACATAGTAGAAAACTTTGGTAATAGATGTTTTTTTCCTTCATGTTTGGTTTCCCAAAGTACCTTGACTGACTGACTTGGATAATCTCTATGCTCCTGAAATTATTATGAAAAAAAAGATTTATATCAATATTGGCTAACTGCCAGAATATGTACATCTTAAGTAAGGTCACTTCTATAGCATGGGGATCCTGACCAATCTATGTTCTGCACTGTTGTTGACTCAGGCAGCCCTGTGTATTATAGATGTTGGGGACATTGTTCAACCATGTACGGCTGGCACCAAGTGTTGATGAACCATAACCTAATTCACCTATGTTGTCAACATCTGTAGTTTATTGAGTACATGGCTTTTGTGGGAGACTCAAAAGTAACTGAGTTGTGCCTTCTGTCATGTGGCTTTGTGGGACTCTATTCTGTCTGTAGTTAGTGGACTTTTATGAACCAAGACAGGGCTTTTGTATTTAAGAAAAATGTTTACAAATTCTTGAGTTTTAAATTTAAAAAGTTTTTCTCAACTAACTTAAGTGAGCTTATGTGCTCCTTTTAAAATAACAAAATTGGTTAGCACATATATAGCCCTTACTATGTGCCAGGCATTATTCTAAACTTTTACACACAAGGGTATTTCAAAAAGTTCATGGAAAGATTTGTATTATCTTTTAATTCTATTTTTCCATGATTTTTTTTTTCTTGGAGGCTGCCTGGTATAGAGATCTGAACCTGTGACTTTGGTGTTACCAGCACCGTGCTTCCCAAGTGTGAACAAACCGGCCGGCCTTCCACAAACTTTTCAAAGTACCTTCACTTATTAACTCATTTCATCCTCACAGGAAGTCTATAAGGTTGTTATTATTATCATCTCCATTTACCAGGGAGACAACTGAGGCACGGAGAGGGTGACTTACCCAAGGCTTGGCAGTTAGTAAATGATGGCATCTTCATCTGAACTTGGGCAGACTGTCTCTAGAGTCTGTATTAATATTTTTTGTATAAAAACTAGAGCTATTGCTATTCCTTTTGAGTAGTAGCTCTTGGATTTAACTGATCAAATTCCCTGAACATTTAAGACCATTACATAGTTAATTTGCTTGCTTGCTTGTTTGTTTTGTGGCTGGCCAGTAAGGGGATCCAAACTCTTGACCTTGGTGTTATAACACTACTCTTTAACCAGGTGAGCTAACCAGCCAGCCCAAGACCGTGACATAGTTAATTTTTAAAACCATAGTTATGAATTTATTATATCTGAAATCTTTCAAATACTTAACAAAGACTTACGAATCCAAGAATGAACCCCTACAGGATAAGCCAAAGAAATCTGTGCACATGCTCAGAGACATCATAATCAAACTGCTAAAGACAAAGAAAAATCCTAAAAATAGCCAGAGAAAAATGACATGTCTCCTGTAGGGGAACAGTAATTTCAATAACTGCAGATTTCTCATCAGAAAGCATGGAGGCTAGAAGACAGTGGCACAGTAGTTTTAAAGTACTGAAAGAATTGTCAACCCAGAATTCTTTATTCAGAGAAAATGTCTATCAAGAAAGAAAGAGAAATAAAAGTACTCTCAGATGAAGGAAAACTTAAGGGGATTCATTGCCAACAGACCTGCTCTAAAGTCATTGCTTAAGGAAGTTCTTCAGACAGAAGTTCCAGAAGGGAACTGGAACAAGAGGAATGAAGGAAAAACAATGAAGTAAATACCTGGGTAAATATATACTATTTTTTTTCCTGTTGAGTTTTTAAAAATATATTTGACAGTTGAAAGCAAAAATTTTTACTGATCGAGTTTTCAGTGTGTGTAAATGTAGTAATATATAAGGCAAGTATAACATAAATGGGGAAGAGTAAAGGGACCTATATGGTGGTAAGGTTTGTACATTCTACGTAAAGAGGTAAAATATTGCTTCTAAGTAGATTTTGAAAAGTTAAATGTACATATATTGTAATCTCTAGAGCAACTACTAAAAAACCTGTACAACAAAGTATAACAAAAATCATTATAGATTTATCAAGATGGAATTTTTAAAAAGTTCAAACAACTCACAGGAAAGCAGAAAAGGAGAAACAAAGAAGGAAAAAGAACAAAGTATAACAAAAATCATTATAGATTTATCAAGATGGAACTTTTAAAAAGTTCAAACAACTCACAGGAAAGCAGAAAAGGAGAAACAAAGAAGGAAAAAGAAGAACAGCAGAAAACAAAATGATAAAGCTAATAGTTACATTAAATGCAAATTATTTAAACATGTCAATTAAAAGAAATTATCAGAGTACAACCCTATAACACCAAAGTCAAGGTTTCGGATCTCCATACCAGCCAGCTGCTAAAAACAAACAAACAAACGAAAAAAACCCAAAAAACAAAGAAATGATCGAGTGGAATAAAAAATCATGAACCAACTATATGTTGTCTATGAGGATTTTTTTTTTTTTTTTATGATGTAGGTGGCATTTACTTGTGTAGTCACCCAGATCAAGATATAGAACATTTCCAGCACTCCCAAAGATTCTTTTGTGCCACCTCCCAATTGGTACCTCTCCCCAAGGTGACTATTCTGACTTCTAACTAACACCATAGAGTAGTTTTACTATCTCCTTGGGTTTTAATTCACTATTAGGTAACCTCTGGCATTAAGTTTTAGAGTGCGTTAGTGGAATTTGGACTTCTTACCCAGGTTGCTATTACAAACTAGTTCTCGTTTATAAAGCATGTGTGTGTCATTGACCATTTTGTTGTCTTACTCTCCCCCACCACAAAGTGATTTATTACTTTTAGAACAAAATAATAACTTTTTTTTTTTCCTTTTTGTCTTTTTTTTCGTGTCCGGCAACGGATCGCAACCCTCAGTGTCGCGCCCGTACCGGACCGGGACCGGCAACGGGATCGCAACCCTCAGTGCTGCACCCGCACCTCACTCAGCCAGTGAGCGGGAACGAATGTGGGATCCGAACGCCACACTCCCAAGTGGCGCACTGCAGCAGTGCGCCACCGGGCCGGCCCGATAATAACTTTTTTTAATGAAGAAAATACTTTTAGAACTTCAGAACTTTTCTAAAACACAATCTTGTCAACTGATGAAGTAAGGACTTCACTATAGAAAACTCTCCTGAGGCAAGCGCCTGGGCTGGATGACACAGCTCACCACTGTGGCCCTGGAGCTGTCCCTCTGGACACAGCTATTGCTTAGAAGCGGGGCTTGCGCTTGTAGCCAGCATATTGTCAGGTCTGACTTCCTTGCCCTGATGCCTGTGGGGCTCCACCAGCATCCACCCTCGGCTCTTTCTCGCTGCCCCCTGCCGGGCAGTCCTGTATAGTCCTCTCCCTGTGTGAGAGACACCACTATGAGCAGTGAACAGGACTGCCCACTGGCACCCATGTTAATCCAGACAGAGGAAAATGGCAAGTGTCCTTTGAGTTAGGTGGCCTCAGATGCTGCTGCTTTCAAATGCTTCATCCTCCCTTCTACCACACAAGTCCCTACTCCAGACACCTCCCTCCTGGTACCATCCACTGGGGCCAAAGTGGTTGTTTAGTAGAAGGGCTAGAGGTGAGGCCCTGCTCACTCCCAGGCATCTTTGTATGAGATAACTGCTTGTTGGGTGGGCATACATCCTGCCTGTGGGGCAGGCAGGGTGCCATGCTACTTTGGGGGCAACCCAGGGCAGGATCAGCGCATGAGAGCCTGGCAGTGCCCAAAGAACTCCAGAGGTCCCATGCCCCATGCTGCCACTTAAGGCTCTAGTCCGATTCTGGGGTAAGCATGCCTGGTACAGACCAAGTGGGGGCTCCCAGCAACTACAGATGTCTGAGGTAGGAAAACAGTGTTGCCCAGCTTGTGGCAGTACCAGTGATGATCCTCAGGGCCTCCAGCCCTGGCTGAGGAGAAAGGGACCTCCTTACAGCCCCATGGGAGAGAGGCCCTTTGTTTTCTTTTTAAAAAACTATATAATTATTTTAAAAATTTCAGTCATCAAACTGAAAAAAAACCTAAAATTAAGGAAACAAAGGTTTAGTGCTCTCAAGAATGAAACTGCAAATTACACCTGACTGCCAGTTTTACCCAGAATTAGTTTTCTACGTATCATATATGAGCCCTAGGAGCTTGGAAGGAATGTGATATGGTAGGACAGCCTCTGCAGGGTCAACCAGAATTTGAGGGAAGTCAGCACAAATTACTGTACCCAACAGACTAGAAGGAGACAAGATTTTAGCTGGTTCTCCTTTACTGAGGGGTCTTAAAAAATGTACTTTTCTGAGGCCAAAATCCACATCTGGTAGTCCTGATTATCAAAAGCATTTCTTGAGCACGTCCTGTCTATAGAATATAAAACCTAAAATTGTGGAGAGTCACAAGGAAGTATAAAATAAAATTTCTGTTTTTCAAAAGAACATAGATTTTAGAGTTTGAAAACAAAGCTGTATATCTGTGTGTAAAATGCAAAGGAAGGGACCTGGAGGAATTTCCATCACGGTTACTTAACTCCAGGTGGAGACTGAGGCTAGGAGGAGGGAGGGAATATGAAAGGGGAGTATCTTTAAAAAAAAAAAAAAAAAAGTAAATATGACAACACAAGGATTTGTTTTGAGCTTTGGCTGCCAGTTATTAGCTGTGCGATCCTAGAGATGAATTAAATATTTATGTTGCTATTATTGTCCTCAGAGCCGGCTGGGTCTTAGAATCATGAGGTGTAATCCCCATGTTCTACAGATAAAGAAACTGTAAGATTCCTGCTCCAAGCCACAC